CTGGAAGACAGGGCAGACATTGCAGCTACAATGTTTGGATGGATAGAGGGCTCCTGGCGTTGTGAAAGGGCTCGATGTGGAAGATGTGGGGAGGTGGCTGCATGCAGCACTTCTGGTTGAAATGTGCAAGCTGTGTTTGAAACTGTGACTTGGAATGGAAATAGCACCATGTGCTCAGGAGCATCAAGGAGATGTTGGTCTGTTGGTCCCAGCCTGGACAGACCCGCTCAGAAGTTTCTCATTCTGTAGCCCTTGGCGGATGCGTTGCCTCTGTTAGCAGAATCTCAATGCTGTTTTACATCTCTTCCTTCCTGGCACGCGACCATCTCTGCAGGAGTATTCTCCATAGGAAAATAAACACAAGTGCCAAAGCAGCACTGCCTTAAAGCAAGCAGTGAAGTCTGACCAACTGGTGGAAGAGGAAAGCACAGATAAGAGCCATCCACTCAAAATTCAAGTTTTCTTCTTATACCAGGCAACAAGTGTGCCTTCAAACATTGTTCGTATGTGAGACAGCCTAGGAGAGGGCAGCAGGGTTGCTCTGGGCATCAGGCATTGCCCAGAGCAGGACTTTTTCCTCCTTTTACTATTTGAAACTTAGTATAATTTCACCTAAAAATATTACTGTGACAAGATGCTATCCACGTTTGTGTAGCACTTTTTATGAGCAAACATCTAAAAGCATCACAAGCAGTGATGGGAGCAGCACACCCCTTCTTGTGTGGCTGTGCGTTATGGGCTGTTCTGCAGGTGCTGAGCATCCCCTGCTCCTGTAGCCAGGAAAACTGGGAGGTTTCTGGTATTTTGGGTGCAATTAGAGGTGGTCAGGTTGGATGGATGGTTCGATAGCCTTGTCTTTCTCCATGACTCCACGGGAGACAATCACAGTCTCACATTTTTCTTTATTCTTTTTGTCCCTTGTTAAAGCAGGGCTGGAGCAGCAGAGTTGTGCTCAAGGGTGATGCTAGTATTTCTTGTCATCTTTGTTGGGGGTTTTGTAAAGCCTCTGTAGCATGTCAATTATATATGATGGGTGGAAGCCTAATATTCTGTGATAATTAGAATGTAAGTCTAGTGTGAAATCGGATTAGAGTCCGGCATTACAGTCCAGGATTCCTTTTGTAGTAGATTCAGAGGAAGTCATAAAGCTCTTTTAAAGATGACACGAGCTGATGTGTACCAGAGGGGCAGTGGTGGGGTGTGAGCTGAGATGCTGGTGGCCCTGCGTGCCCCTCCTGGAGGGGAGCAGTACGGCTCCAAATGCTCCACCAGCCTGGGTTTTCACACACAGGAGCCAAGTCCAACAGTAACATCTCTGACCATAAAGTGCTTTTGGCTCCTTGACTGAGCTTCAGTGAAGGGCTAGACTGTGCACAGGAGACTTTTCAACAGGTAACACCCCTCTGCCTCCCAGTTAATGGCTTTCGAAAGTTGCTTTTGCAGCCAGAAGTACTTGGTCAGGGCAACAAGGAGCAGGGTGGGAATGGCGTGTTTAGCCTGGAAGTCCAGAAACAACATTTTGAAAAGGTCTTGGAAAATTGTTTGGTGAAGGGAGCTGCTTTTCAAGATAATGGAGCCCCTGAGTTCGTACTGCACAGTTACTCATTTGATGAAAACATGTTTTCCAACATGTTGCATAATAGTTGCTTGATTTGGAAGAAACTTCGTGTGCCTAGAGCCTGCTAAATGTGGTATTTCTATAATGGCTTAAATAATAAGTTTGCAAGATTACCTTTCTGAGCACATTTCCTTAGATCTGCAGATGGTGACATGGTGTACTGTTGCATTTCTGTCTTTAACCATTCCATTCCCCAGAGGTGTATTGCTAACCAGCTAAGGAGCAAGCTTCTCTTCTAGTTTTGGTCCATTGCTTTTCTCTCTATATATGTGTGTGTAGTATAAAATAGATATAATGTCTTGCTGTGACAGGCTATGGAAAAGATCTGCCACAAGTCCTTGACAAGTTGCAGGTATGGTGTACGTGTGCAGTAGATATTTAGAGTAGTTCTCTGCTACTTAAGCTCTTTTTGCCACACAGCCCCCAGTGTGATGATTGCAAACAATTCAATAAAAGCGTAACTTGAAAGGAAGCTGTGGCAGAGTTATATTTTGCTGGGCTCATATGGTGATAAATTACAAAAGCTGCAGAGTCTTTAACACTCAACAGTAGATGAAGGGTTGCCTTGTATGGGCATTGTTTGATGAGTATCAACTTGAGAAATAATTATTGCCAAATGTGTCCTTGACAGCGAGCACACACAATGAGTGTTCTTTATGTAATATACATAAACATTAGATGTCTGCTTAAGTGGGCCTAAATACCTAGTTTTTCACTCCTTTCTTTAGAGGAGCTCTGGCTGCCAGCAGGAGGACCTAGGAGTGGTGTCTTGGTCTGAGCTCCAGGTTGCTGTGTTCTGGGTCAAAGTAGCACATGGGAATGAGCCCTGTGTATGGGTATGAGTGCTGCCCAAGTAGAGAAAGCAGAGAGCCCTACGAGCTGGTGTGAAGCGAGAGCTAGAAATGAGATTCCTCACAAGGTACCAGTGCCTGATGTTTCATTCAGTCAGTGATATGGAGGTGCTAAGGGACAACCCTCCCCATGGGAAACATGGGCTTCAGTGACTTCTCAGTGGCATCTTCCATTGGGGCATAGTAAAGCTTCAATAAAAGCAGCACGCAGTCTTAAACTTTCTGTTTTTTTGTTTTTTTTTGTTTTTGTTTTTTAACCACTGAGTAACACAGTGCATCCTGCCCTGCATTAGCACTCAGTGGCAGGAGCTCCTCAGCTCCAGACAGAGCTAATTCTTGATCACAAGCCAAGACCACATAGTGCTGACATGACCGAGAAATATCTTCCATAATTAGATTGCTTGGTCATTCATTTTTGAACGCCTGAGTTGTGTTCTGGAGAGTAATTTGTTAATGATCAACCAAATAGTAAATCAGGCTTGTGCAGATCCTATCAGTACTATTCCCCTTGCCTGGCTTTGCAGTGTGTACTGGAGAAGCACCGTGCAAATCTGAGACAAAAGGGATTAAAGAGAGAAGTTTTTGCTTTGAAATGTTAGCTCCTGATTCAGTACTCTGAAATATAAAACAAAGTAATTCTTTTTCGGAGGCAGATCAACATTAGGTTTATTTATAACCTCCCAGCCAAAAGTTGTTACAATGGTGAATAAGCAGCAGGTTAATCTAATAGAAAAAGGCGTTGTCAGATAGGTGAGATATTAACTTCAGTTTAGTAGTGTAAACAGATACAAAAACATTCCTTGTATTTGTGAAATACGCTGGGCTTTTAATGGATTTTAATGTTGGTTTTTTTTTTTTTTTTAATCAATCAATAAATTGCGGTAGTTGTTAAGACATCACTGCTCTGAGGATCCCAAGGCATTTGTGGACAACTTCAGAAGTGTCTCTGAAGTGCAGTGAGGAAAAGAAATCCCGCTGACAGTAGGCTTGAGCTTGCCAAGTAGGGTAGAGGTTTGCCCTTCCAACACAAAAGAATTACAAGTATGTAAATTGCAATCACCGAGGGAAGAAGTGCTTAATGAAAATGGTACAGAAATCATGGAGCACATGTCAGGTAAAATATTTCCATCTGAAATTTAGGAAAAAAAATTAAAAATTCAAGTGTTTCAAAATTAAATAGTTTTGACATCTCAAGTCTAGCTGTTGCTCTAGCAGGAATTATCACTTTGCTGATACTTATTTGTGTTCTGTAGTGTCAAGGAGACTTAGCCCTCTATTGGAAGTGGAGCAAAAGGGATGCAAAGTGAAATAGTGTGGCCTTGCCTAGGGACTTGCTTGGTTGAGTGCTGGCTGGGGAGGCAGGCTCTGTATGCCCCGGTATCATGAGCACTGAGTCTTAGTCCTAGTGCAGTGTGCTTGTCATTGGAGGTGTTCCTGGGAGGAAAAGGAGTGTGTAAAACGAAAAGGGAGAAAAAAAGAGTCTCTAAGGAGACAGTGAGGTTTTTTTCTTTGTCTTCTGAAGGCTGTCTAAGCAGGGCTGTTCTCTGTACCGGACTTGGAGCAGCAGACAGTCTCGTGCAATAAATTAGTTGTGGCAGAATTATCTGTTGGTCAAGGTCTCTGTAATGTCTGAGAAAACAAACAAATCCCATGGCACAAAAGGAAAGCTGTTTAGGAGAGGGCAGTCTTAGAGATGGAATGTGTGTGTTTAATTAATATGTATGGTTTTAACTTTTGAAAAATGGCCTGAGAGTGGTCTCTAGGCAAGAAAGTCACACACACAGTGTGAAGGTTTGGTAGCTGGGCGAATCGTGCAGTTGTGGGCCAGATCTGGTTGCACTGATCACAGTCTGGCTTTGTTTTGCATAGAGCAGAAATAGCTCTTGTTCACTGCAGACCTTTCCGATGCTTTAGCAGTCTGGGTGGCTCTTCAGAAGGTATGTAGTGATTCTTTCTGCCCTGCAGCTCTTGGGGTGAGTCTTGGTGAGTCCCAGCAGTGCTGGAGGTTGTTGCTGGACCTCCGGGGGAATTCTCACCATCTGCCTCCTTGTGCTGAGGCACTCAGGGGTAAGAGAGATACTGGAGCCCTTTACGATTCCTCTGGCTAAGCAATCTTGAGCCATAAGATTTTTATGAGAGCCATCTTTTAGGGTGAGGGAAGAAAAATATGTTTGAATTCTGCAAAACAAACACAGTTTCACCCAAGATGATGACAGAAAACCGTAAAATTAAAAGCTGGGAAATGTAAAGTCTTTTCACAAGCAGTTACATAAAACAAGTTTATTTTCATATCAGTGATATCTTTGATTCTTACAATACTTCAGTGATAGCTGAAGGGAAGGAGAAGGAAAAAAGGATTTTTCTGTTCAAAAAGGACCAATGTCATTGATGTGGTGTATTATGTATTAACTGAGTGAACTGAAAGTAATTAAAACTCCCTGGAGACGGTGCCACCATGGGGCCTCGCACACTGACCTCTTTGTGTCGCAAAGGGAATTCCTCTAACTTAGAGTATTTTCTTTGTTTTTAAGGCGACCACTTGAAAGTCTGCTCACAAGCCTACACGTGCTGCACTCAAGAAATGGAAGAGAGATACAGTCAACTGAGCAAACACGACTTCAGAAACGCCGTCGTAGAGCTTAGCAATCACTTACAAACAATGTTTAGTTCCCGATACAAGAAGTTTGATGGTGAGTGCAGAGACCTTGAACTTACTTTCCTTTGCATAAAATGCTAAGAATTCCCATCCTGTTGTTCTGTGTGCAGTTGTTCTGCTCTGCCTCCCCTTTTGCTGGGGAAGTTCATGACTCATTGCTCTGGTGGCGAGGGTAGCGCATGGCTTGTTTTGCAATCCCATGTGAAAGAAATATTTGCTGATTACAGTTGTTTGTTTCCTAAAGAGAGATCTTTTTCTGATTAATCTTTCAAAAAACTGTACTGCTGTTAACTTAGATTGCAGTGAGTTTGTTTGTATATCCCCGTGGTGCATGTGATTGTAACATGCACGTCTTGCAGCCCCGATCCACAAAAATGCAGATCTTTTCCAGTCTGTTATGAACCAGCGGGGTTTGTATCAGCTCACTTAGCCTTTGGGGCTAAATAGAGCAGCAAATAAATAAATACAGAGATGTCTTTGTGCAGAAACCGAGGGTTCAAGTGTGATGCAGGGTCAGAAGCAAAGTGAACAAAGTCTCGGCTGAGTTCCCATCGCTCAAGTGACACCAATTGCTGACTGATAAGCAAATGTCTTTTCTCATTGTTGCCCTTCAGTCAGCGGGATGGCTGTGCTCTCCTCATAGCCTGATGGAAGAAAATCCCTATGGAAGTAGCTGGCAGTCACCTGTGCCAGTATCCTGTATTCACTGTGTGCCCAGCATCATGCTCCTGCAAGAAGGACTGTCCTTCTTGGCTGTGGGGATGAGGTGACACCTAGATGCATGTGAATATATCTGATGAGTTATGTGGACTGGATTGGTTGTCAGGACATCCTTTGTGTCCATTGCATCACCGCCATCTGTTAGCAGAGGGTGATTCCAATGCACAGTTCCTCAGGGTTTTTTTCTCCCTAGTTTGGTTGTTAGTGGAGAATCCACGTGAACCAACACCCTGAAGTCTGTGCCTTGAACCTCCCAGGGACTTCCTCTTTGCTGCTGCAGCAAGTAGCAGCCCTTTTCCTTCAAAAGAAGTTGGCACCTGTGAGAAGGAAAAAGTCCCCGAGTATGAAATTGCAGTGAGTCAAAGTGAAATTATGCAACCCTCTTGATAGCATCTAAATCTACTAGCTGAGTATTTCCCTCTTAAACCTCTGTTGTCTCTACCTGCTGCTACACCAAAGGGGTGATAGAGAGAGAACCAAAGTGTCTAGACTTGCAAGCTTATTAAATACAGAGCAAGGCACTTAATGAAATCCAGCCCATAGATAAGCCCTTTGAAAGAGGCCAGAGGAACAGCATCTGCTTCACCTTTAATGAACAACGAGGCTTCTTAAAAATGCTGCACTGAACACAAAGGGCATGCTTGGTTCACTCTATTAGCATCCCTGACGTGGTGTAGATGTATTTCCAGGTGTGTCTTCTCATTTTCATGGTGAGTTATGGCCACAGGACTGTGTGACAAGAAGAGGGTATTAGGCTAAGTTGGATCCCTCTCAAAGCACAGTGCTTCAGTCTGGGGGGGCTTTGATGGGGAGCCCTGCAAAGCTGCTCTGTTGGCGCAGCGTGGTTCTGCCATCAGCAGCTCTCAGCGTGCCTGCTGCTGCTCTCACCACTGTGGCTCCTCTGATCTTAATCCTGGGAGTCCTTGAAAGGCAAATTTGGAAGCAGATAGAGTGATACTGTTCCTGGAAGCTAGATTTGCTGTGCCCAGCCTGTCCCTGAAGCGTGCTTCTCTGCCCTTTCTGAAACTAATAAAGGAGAATTAGCAACTTCTTAAGCTTGTCCCCAAGCCTGACGTTCCCGTCTTTAAGCAGTTGTTAATATCAGATCTAAATCTTTATTTGCTGTAGACAGAACTGATTTAAGCATTTTTTTAAATCTTACCTGGGGTGGAAGCAGAAATTAACTGATTCCCATCCTCCCTTGTTTATCTCTTGGAAGACTTTTAATCAGGACTGCCTCCCTCTCCCTGGCCGAGTCACCTGGAGGCTGATTGCACCCCATTCACAGGTGCTGTTTGGTGATGGTGGCTGAGCAGTCCTCCTCTCAAGTTCTCAGTCCTTTACCTCTCTCAAGATTCCCTGCAAAAAATGGCATGTTTTTGGAGCTCTGTGCTTGGACTGCTGTGGTGGTTTTGGGGGTTTGTGTTGCCTCCTATGGACTGATTGGCTGTTTGTGGTGGTTGTTTCCTTTCTACAATCTTGATGCTTAGTAATCTGGTCACACACGTTCTGTTTTTTGCTTTGCATGTTTGATTTCTTGTCAAATGTCCTTTTGTGGCAGGGGCGCGTTCCTTTTACTCTTTCTGGATCAATTCTCCACTTTGCCAATGCCTCACTGAGTTGGTCTGACTTTTCTGCCCTGAGTATGTGGCATTCCTGTCTTTTACAAGCTTTGCAAGGACACCTTTTAATCCTTTACACAACCAGTTAATGATAGTTGTGGGTGGAATGGAGACTGAGAGAAACACTGCTTTAAGATGCCTTCCTGCTTTGTTGCCCCCCCAGTGATTGTGTTTTGGGCGTATCTTTGAATCTTGATGCACTCCAAACGTTTTTTCAGTTTAAATAAGTTGAAATAACTGGAAAGAGGAAGGTGATTGGAACACAAAGCTGGTGAAGGTGGCTTGGCAGTTGCTTGGATGCAACACGTCCATCTCAGAAGGGGAAGAGATGATCAAGACCCATGTATTTGCCCTGAGCTCTGGGGATGAGATTTGAAAAGCATACGATCCCCCCAAACTCTTCCTCTGCTTGGCCCCTTGCTCCTATTTTAACATTTGGAGCTCTTTAGGGCTGCCTCATTACCAGTAGCCAGATCCATTTGAATGAAAATAAAGCTGACAGAATACAAGCCATGCATCCTCCTCTGCTTAACAGGAAATCATCTACACTGTGAAGCTGGACTGAAGGCAAGATGAGTTATTGCAGAGACCTAAATTCACTTAACTCCCAGCAAATGGAGCAGTGACTCCCCTTGCAGGGTCACATCGCTGTGTTTGGCGATGACACTCCAGGAAGCAGCTCCCTCACAGCGCGAAGCAAACCATGACCTCCCAGCTCTCTGGAAATCTTTGGTGCAGGCTCTCTGGCTGCTAATCTCTTAGCCTTGACATTCAGGTCCAAGAGAAGAGGCAAATCTGTGCTGCCTCTGCTATGTGCTTGACCTTTGCAGCAGTTGCCACTGTAAAAGGACAGTCCTTGGATGGAGGCGGCAGTGCCCTGTTGCTGTGGGAGCATTTTGCATCAGCTGTTGCTCGAGCGCTGTGTGATGTTGGAACAGTTGCCAGAATTGCTCTGATCTGACACCAAAGCCGTGTGCTTCAGCAATGGATTATCTCCTCTTAATCAGGAGCATACACCAAGCTCCTGATTACCAGTCCTCAAATGGCTGGCCTCAAGTCACTTCAGCTTCTCCTATGTAATTGTACAGCGCCAGGTTCTTCTGTGTGTGTTTGGTTTGCAGACACAGGGAGAAGACTGGAGCTTTGGAGTGCAGTATCTTATATATCCTGTCTAAATATTTGCTTACAGCACAGCTCTGCATGCTCCTGGGGGTTTCTCCTGTTGTAATTTAAACCTAGCCCAGCCTCAGCGTAGCAGAAAGGTACACATTTCCAGCAATAAGGGAAATTCTTTTTTTAATAAAAAATATGTGCTTTGGGAGTTGCTGGACTCTCCATTGCTAGATGTTTTTAAGGTGAGGATTTGCTGGTTTTGTTTTTCTAATATACGTGATGTCAGATACATGTTTACAAGTTTCACTGAGAAACTAGTGGGTGATGTTCCCTGGCCATATAAGCATCTCCCTATATGACAATAGCCATGGGATGCAGGAGGAGTGCTCTGATGTGGTGTCTGTCCTGAGCTGCCACGGAGGAAGCTGTGAAGCTGTGCAGTGTGACCTCATCTCATGGCACAGCAGTGGCTGCAGCCTTTTTTCATCTTCACCGCTTAGTGCCCCTCCGCTCTCCTAAGGATTAATAATTTTAGAAGGATTAATGGTGACATTAAGATTGTTTAAATGCTTGATCCCTTCTATTAAGCTCGAACTTTCATCTCCACTGACCTTTCAGGCTGAAGTTTTCCATGCTGGGGGCAGTGGTTTTGGGAGGATGAGGTGAATGCCAGAACAGAAATTGGGCTCAGCTGTTTTGAGGAATTGGAGCAGGGCAGGAAGCAGCAGATAACTCTCCTTTAGCATTTCTGCTATCCTGTTTCTTCCTAGATAAGCTGTTCTTTGGTTGTCTGCTTTTGTTAAAGACGCCTTCTGAATCTCTCAGAAGACACAACTGTTTTACCAAGCCTTTTTTAGGGAGAAATTCTGTTTTCTAGGTTCACTGCACAGCAAATGAGGGGAAAACAAATTTCTAAAGCCCTTGTAAGCAGAGGGACTGCTAAATGACTGCTGTGAAATGCTGGCTGGTTTGTTGCCTCTGAGTTTAGCAAGCTGCTGCATTTAAACCAAGTTTTGTCTCTTTCTTCTGAGCGCTCTGTATTTAGGGAAGACGAGCAAGATTTTGCCTCCAGTGATATTTAAGAATATTATGTCCAAGAGGCAAACGTGCAGCAGGCTTGGTGCTCGCTGTGCCTCAGCAACAGGAGGATTTGCACAAAACTTCTCAGCCTCAGCCGGCATCTGGGAAGCTATTAAATGCTGAGTGTCCCATTTCTGCTCCGCTCCTCCCCGCTGCCCCCTGACTTTTCCATTAGTATCAAAGATAAAACAAATATGAAAGTGTAAAATGAAACCCTTGTGGGACAACGAGCGGAAGGAAAGCGAATCCGAGCAGCAGGAGCTGGGCAGTGGTCCCCAAGGGGCACGTGGGGCCACAGGTTGGGTTCAGTGGGGTTATTTCTTCTGGGCTGGATGTAGGTCAGGGCTTTTGCATGTGGCGCAGGTTTTGAAAGGTGGGAGTGGGACATAACTTTCCTGGTCCATTGTCCCCTTGCAGATGAGGGGTAGCTCACATACAGCCTTTGTGTTGCTTTGCACTATGCACTGGGTGCGGGCAGCTGCTACAGGAGAACCAGCTG